TTTTGGGTGATAAAGATGATATGAACAGCACTCTCTTGAAAGTGAATCATAGAAAAGTAACAGACTTCAAACCATCAGATGTTTAACTCAATCTTCCTACTGTTATGTAGCTTTGTAATTACAGAATTAGAACCATGAATGGCTACGGCCATATCACGATGAATGCACCTCATCCCATCCGATTTGAGAAGTTAAGCATCGTCGAGCTGCATCAGTACTGAGGTTGGAGACAACTTGGGAACCTGCAGTGCTGTAGCCTTTTTTTTCTTGTCAACCTCACTTTTTTGAGAAATAGTATATTAATTCCGTGTCATCAATCTTTTGTATTGTCGAACAATATTTGTTCCTTGGCGGTACTTTGCTCGAGTAAATACAACACTCCTGCTCACAATTCTTGTCCAACAACAAAGATAAATTACAAACAAAGGCTTGCGCTTTTGTCACTCACAGTTCATACAGTCAAAGACTGTAGCGGGAGTGTCGCCATATTCCTGGCAGGCATCCCGTCCAAAACATGATTCAATAAGAGAAAAAGGGTGGTCCTGCATGTATTGGTGAAGAGAGTAACCATTTGGAATTCGGGCGTTCCAAATTAGGAACTATCACGAATGTGAATTCTCAAACAAAAAAAATGATGACCAAAGCACCTCGTTCAACCTTTCGTTGTAAATAATGTGAAATTATCATAAATTTTTTTTCGAATTTAAATTTCTAAAATTTAAAGAAAAAAAATGGCATCCAAAGAAGGCTCATCGTCGATTGATTTTTTCACGTATTTGATCGGAAAGTGGAAGAGAAATTTGGAATGGAGAGAATTTGGTGGAATTTGTATGTTGAAATTTCTGTTGATTTTATTTGTATACGAATTCATGAAATTTGCCAAATCGGAATTTTAAAAATCATTTATAATTATTGAAACTATTTGAAATGATGAATGCACCACATTCAAATGATAGATCAACATTTATCAACAAGTAATACATTTCTTCAATTTGAGGAAAATACCAAATACGAATCCACCTACCTTTCAGAATCGTCCTCCACCACCAATACTACCACACCAAATCATCGTTATGCTCGTTTCTCGTTTGGAAATTCACCTCAAGACATGAAATTTGCCTATGAAATGATCTTTCAACCACTCATCTCTTCATCCACAACTAGTTCCTCCTCTTCAACGACGACGACGACAAATCATAGACTTTCACAACAAACGCAAGCTCAACAAGAAATTCAACATTTTCAATGGAAATATCTTGGAAATATTTGTAAGGGAGAGTTTTATCCTTTAAATAATGTGGCAATTTTAAAGGTGGTCATGCCAACGTCGTTCATTACCACCACCTACCGAATTATTGATGAAAGCACAATGGCTGTCGTCATTGTCGAAGTTGATGAGAAACAGCAACCAACCATTCAATACGGAAATATGTATCGATTGAATTAAATGAAGATCTCTTTAAGAATTTGACGAATTTATTCAAATGCTGGCGAAGATGGCTTTCTAGACACTACTAGTATCCAGAAGAATGGCCATTTCACACAAAGAACATTATTAGAGTGGCCAAGTCAGTGGTCACGCAGTCTTATACGATTGACTTGTATGGAAATAAATTATTTACAATTCGCAATAGAAAAACCTAGCAAGTTGAGTAGCCCAAATCCACAGAGCTGTGAGAAAAAGAAATTTCAAAGTAGTATTGACATTGAGATTCCCTTACTCCTTTCTCTTCTGAGAAAACACATGTCGAATACTCTCAGAAATTCTCAATCGATCTTCCTTTCCATATCGATACAGCAAAAGTTCCTGTCTGGTTTTCTACCACCTTCGAAATATAAAGTATTGCAAAAGTGTTTCATAAAGTAATAGATTTGACGAGCACATGGAAGAATTTCCTCTTCAGTCTTGCCAGTGTAATAGATCAGATTGGAATTCCACTTTTCACCCAACTTTCTCAAAGATCTTGCCACATAAATGGCAGCACATGCAACAGTGCTTGGAGTGTAATTCAACATGTTCATATCATAGAGTGTCATTTCATTCACAAAGGAGGCAATGAACACTTGCACATCATCGAATTGCACACTGCATTTGAGATATCTCTTGAGAAAGACATTGGAGCTCGCAATGGTCAAGTTAAAATCAAGAGTCTTCAAAATGAGTCTTTCCATGTGGAGGATTTCTTCTTTCGAATACATTTTCGAGTGATTTTGATGACGTGCTCGGTGAGCAATGGCTTCACTTCCTCATACTTGGTGGCAATGAAAAGAGAGGTCACTGCCACGAGATGAATCTTTTCAAGGGCTACATCAGGATGAGCACTCAAAAATCGATCAAAAATGTTCACACACAAAAACATGGTCTCTGGGGACAATTCGAAATGGTTATGAACATTCAAAAGCCAGTTAATGGTCAAGACACGAGTTTGTTCATTAAAATTTCTCTGGAAAGTCATGTAATTTGGATTCGGCATGTACTTGGTCTCAATGGATCTGTAATGTGAAAAAATGTCTTTCACATACTCGACACAGGACTCTGGCTTGTCGGCATCTGAGGCATCAACCTTAGGACTCATGATCATGGCATCGACCGCATTCTTTCTCACAGGAGAAGTGTAAGAGGTTTCCTTTTTCACAGTGGTGGAATTGTTGGGCTTTACCATGGTTGGAATTGTTGGCTTTTGAGTGATGGCAACATTTTGGATGGAATTCATGGTAGAGGCAGTCTTGTTTGAAATGTCAACCAATGCTCGTCGATTGGTGTTTTGAGAAGGATTGGTACCAGTGGTGGAGGCGAGGGAACCGAAATTCATCGAAGCTCTCTTCTGTTGAGAGTCCAAAATGGACATGTTGTTGAGATTGTTGGAGAGTTGGTTCTCCGTATCAATGTTCATCATCATCATTGGTGGAATGTGCTGGTAAGAGAGGTTGAAATTGGGTGAATTCTATGGTTTCGATAAAGGAATTAATGTCGATCGAAGCAACCGGAATCGATCGAAAAGAATCGAAAGGGTTGAAGGAATGTCAAATGAAGGTTCGACTATTAATACGAGTACTGCTTTGAAGACTGCCAATACTACTTACACAATCACGAAGATGATGAAAGTTTTTTTTTGATAATTATTAATTTTTGAAAAATTGCTGACATTCATTTTTAAAAATTGTGTAACGGCTAGATCCGTTAAAGTTTACAAAAAATGAATACGAAAGAGGAAGGTCAAGGGAATAGATGAAATGCAATTCGATCTAATTGGATATCATCTATTATTTCAATATGATAGAGATGTTCACACTTTTAACCCATGTTTGAAGGTAATAAGGATTAAAAATTATTTTTGTCGAAAATAGTTAATTTTGTGTTTAATCACTTTCTTTGATGGACTGGATGATCAAAGGCGACCTTTCCGTATTCTGAGAAGGATCCATCATAGAGTCTGAGTTGATCCAATTCCACTCCAAGTAAATTAAGAGAATAAAGAAGAGCACAACCAGTCACACCACTGCATGGAGAAGACACATCAACGGATTCACGACATTGTATCAAGTGAAAAGGATGATAAAGAAAGGAAAAGTACAGCAAGAAAATACATACCTGCCACAAGTTCCAACAATTGGCTTATCGATGACAATTTTGCCATCCACTTGCTTGATGTTGAGGCCAGCTTTTGGAAGAGCTTTAAAATTTCTTCATGACTCTTAAAGGTCTTGTCCTCTGGATTGACCAATGTAGGGAATGGAATGTTAAAGCTGTTTGGAATGTGACCACTTTTCAAATTAGGACGAGGTTCTGATTGTGTTCCATTAAATCTCTCAGCAGATCTTGCATCTATGTGAAAAGAATGTTTTCATTCGTGAGATGGCAAGAATTTTTAAATGACATTGCACATACCAACAACATATGCCTTGTTGCTATTGAGGTTGCTCAAAATATCGTCCAATTTTACAATAAATTGCTCTTGGAAGTTCGCCTTGTAAGGTTGATCTCTCTTCTCTGGCTTTGGTGGGCCGCTTTCAAGTGGATAATTTAATAATTTCCATTTCATGAGACCACCGTCCAACAAACTCACATCTCCCTTGTGACCAAATACTTTAAACGTAAACCATACTCTGAAATATTTTCATAGTAGGTAAACAATAATTTCGCAAACCATTATGATCATCAAAAATTATCAATTCAAATTATTTTCATATCGTCACGTCGTCGATGGGTGTTTGGTGAAAGAAATTAGTAAAAGAATCAATGGCAAAAGCGATGTTTGATTTTCTCATTATTTTAACAATCTTGTTGTTTTCACGTTTGAATAGACTCACCTGAAAGCCGAAGTAAACGCTGTATCATAAACTACGACATGATCAGTATTGACAATACCCATCTCTGTAATACTCTCTTCAAACATTTTCACGGGAGGTAACATGTGGGGCAGATCAGTGTTCGGATCACTCAAAGCATCAATATCAAAGAACAATGAAGTCGGAATGTGTTCATTCAAATATTCCTTATATCCATTTCTATTCGTGGCGGGCATGTGCCATGATCCATCCAAAACTTTAATCACAGAAGATCTCATGCCTGGCTTTGTATCCAGCAAAGCTTGCTTCAAGGCTTGGCATGAAATGAGAGAGGAATATCTCTTCATATTTTTTTCTAATAATTTTATTATTTTTTTATTTAATTAATTGACCAAAAAGTA